GCTGTGTGGCATGTGGGACTTTAGTTCCCTGACCAGGGATCGAACCCGCACCCCCTGCTTTGGAAGCGTGGAGTATTAACCATTGGACTGCCAGAGAAGTCTGGTGGCTCCTTTTTAGATGTGTATTCTCCCAGTAAATATAGGCCCACTCCCTTCCCACATGTACCACTGGAACTTAGCTCTGGACCTCAGTTCCGTGACTGTGTTGCTTCTAAATCTCTTTGATGCAACTGCCTACCTACTTTGATCTCTAAGTTGCAGCTTCTCTCAACTGATTCTCAGTGTTTGACATGCCCTGATTACATCTTGCTAACTTCTCTGTTACCCACTGCTTATCTAAAGTACCACGTATTGGCTATTACTATACTGGAAAGATACACTAATTTGCTATCTCCACTGTCCTTCCTTGCAATGTTATTTGCTTGGTCTTGACTTAAACTCTTCTAATGTCAAACGACCACCCAACACTAACACTACTGTCTTTGAAAGGCAGTGGTGGTAGAAGTAGAGGTGGTGGGGGGAGTACTGGCAGAGCTGGATTGAAAGTCCCCCGCCCCCATTTTTAAAAATGATTTAGACAATTTTCTGAGAGTCTGAACGAGAGAAGACACACAAGGGTACCCAGACTAGCAAAATAATAAACCACCATCTTAGTTCTTTACTGGTTCTGTATCAACAGATAGTCTGGCTAAATTCAGGAATTCATCCTACTTTCATCTTCCTTCAATATTTATAAATCAGTAAACTAACCTTTTGCTAAAAGTGATACTAAATAATAAATGCTTAGTGTCTTAGTTTGGGTGCTCTGGGAAACACACTCTGAGATGGAGATTTGTGTCCAGGAAGTTTATTGGGGCATGTGCTCCAGAACAACCCCTATGAGGGAGTGAGGGAAGCAATGCAGATAGAACAAAGGCTTCAGCTAATATAATACCACAGGAATCTCTGGAGCTGGGATAGTCCTTTATAGTTGCTCTGAATCGAGACAAAGAGGCCTAGCCTTGGTACACCCACATTGTTGAATCATTGTGTGTGCACTGCCCCCGGGGCGTGGGGGGTGAACTTGACTGAGTCATCTCTTCGCCTGAGGGCAGTTGCTAGAGAGACCTCAGTTGTTAGCAGGCTGTAACCAATCTCCCAAACAACTGACAAAATGTGTGCCTGGGGCTTCCCTGGTGTCGCAGTGGTTGAGAGTCCGCCTGCCGATGCAGGGGACACGGGTTCGTACCTCGGTCCGGGAGGAACCCACATGCCGTGGAGAGGCTGCGCCCGTGAGCCATGGCTGCTGAGCCTTCACGTCCTCAGCCTGTGCTCCGCAACGTGTGCCTGATTTCTGAAGGGTGGATCTGGAGGGTTTCCCACACCATGTACATACACACACACACACACACACACACACACACACACACACATTTATATAAATATACACATATACAATACACGTATACACAGTCATACACATACATATATGTATATACACACATACATATACACATACAGCTCTAATGTTGCTTATCATAGTTCCTTGACCTCACCCAACAACTACCTTGATCTTTTTATTTAAATACAGAATTCCTCAAGAGAGAAGTTAGTCCTGTTTCAACATGAAATCCTTCTGGAAATTCCAAGTTCAAATCAGGTTAGCTTATACTCAGTAACAAAAAGTCACTTTAGAGTCTAAAAATAGCATTCTTCCTACCTCCACATTCTCACCACTGCCCCAGAGCTTCACCAGAAAGCTTTTATAATACATTATTTGAAATGTTTCTAAAGGCATTTCTTTTTCAGAGAGAATAATACCCTCATGTACAAAAATCTATATATCAGCTAATGGCTAAGGATTACACTGACTAAGGTATAATGAGGTCACCATGTCAGGTTAATATTAAGGATATTTCTTTTTAGCCTTTTGGGCCTAAGTGTCAGAGTGGTTATTCCTCTGTGTTAAAAATTCTATATTCTTTTTAATTTATAATAAGAAATTCCATTACAGTAGCACCCTGAACATAATTGCTAACCTTGGACTCAATTGTTTAGTCCATTTTTACTCCCAGCTGACACTGTCAAAAAACTTTTAAAAGATTTTCTGATGATACCAGACTAATACTAATTCCTTTTTTATTGTTATTGTAATGGATTAACTGGATTAATTGGTTAAATGTCCTATCTTGGTATGAAAATACATTAGCATAATACATCCTATATTATGACAAATTATATCTTACTTTAGTCACTTGAAATGAATGTTTTGGGGGCAAACTATATTGTACAGTAATGTTTGAACTGATTGTAATGTGAGTCAAATTGGTTATTGAGAGCTGGTGTTTTTCTTCACAAACACTGAGTTTTTTTTCTCTGGTAACTTGTTAGGGTAGGGGTCAGATTCTCCAATAATATTTTCCCAAGATGCCTAAGCCACTATGGACCAAAAGCCTGAGTTCTCTTTTGTGACATCTTGTGACTTCATTCTTATCATTTGTAGTATCATCATTATCAGTGACTAATTATTATCTTTGGCATAATGATGGGCATTAAAGAAAATATAAGGTAAAGTTAAGCTAAGGAGCTGAAAATGAGCTTGCAAATGAAGTGTGTAAAACAGTACAGTCAATAGATAGATAGACAGTCAATAGATAACATTTATTGAGTACTTAATATGTGGCAGGCAATGTCCTAAGAGCTTTAGTATTTTAACAATAGTATGAGTCAGGGATTATTTCTTAATTTTTCAAACTCGGGGCAAAGACAGGATATGCCCAAAGTCACATGGCTAGTGACCTTGTGATTTTAGTCCAGATAGCCTGGCTCCAGAGCAAATGTTCTTAACCATTACACCACAGTTACTTCTAATTAAGAGAATTATATTAGAAAGACTATATTTGCTCCCCCCATTTCTGCATTTTTGAGTATTTTTACTGTGATATTTTTTCTTGAAATATCAAGGAATGCAATGGAAAAAGTGAACATTAGCCAAAAACCTATAATTAAAGTAAAAAGACAAGATTTTAAAGATGTGTAGTTAGTGACATGTAAGGAGGAGGAATTGGATCACCCCCCAGTCTGTCCTCATAAGAAGTCTAACACTTTGGGATATGGTGAGGGATGATGTCAGAGTGAGAGATATCAGGGTTAGATGCAACTTTCACTTTTTAAAATTTTGGGCCTGTGGCTTAGCTAATGGTTCTACCTGAACCTGAGGTTGGGGAAAAGGCACAATGGCCTAACCTACAGCCATATTTGTTGGAACTATTAAATAATATGGAACTGGTCAATATTGGCTGATAAAACATTTACATCTATGAACTAACTCAATTATCTTATAAATCTTTTGCATTCTTAATGGTATCATGAAGCTCAGAGTCATTGTCCAGCCCAAAGTAACAAATTTATTCTTTGTTTTTTATTTTATTTGAGTATAGTTGATTTACAATGTTGTGTTAGTTTCAGGTGAACAGCAAAGTGGTATTGAGTAGAGTTTCCTGTGCTATACAGTAGGTCCTTGTTGGTTATCTATTTTATGTATAGTAGTGTGTGTATATTAATCCCAAACTCCTAATTTATCCCTCCCTCCGACATATGTTTCCCCTTTGGTAACCATAAGTTTGTTTTCGAAATCTGTGAATCTGTTTCTGTTTTGTAAATAAGTTCATTTGTATCATTTTTAAATATTAGATTCCACATATGACTGATATCATATGATATTTACCTTTCTCTGTCTGGCTTACTTCACTTGGTGTGATAATCTCTAGGTCCATCCATGTTGCTGCAAATGGCATTATTTCATTCTTTGCTATGGCTGAGAAATATTCCATTGTGTATATGTACCGCATCTTCTTTATCTATTCACAAATTTATTCTTGGAGTAGAAGGGGGATTTAGGCCCTGGAAAAATTGACCTCAGTAAGAATGTAATACTTATCATCCCTGTCTATTTTTCTTTTTTTTTTTTTTTTTTTTTGCGGTACGCGGGCCTCTCACTGTTGTGGCCTCTCCCGTTGCGGAGCACAGGCTCCGGACGTGCAGGCTCAGTGGCCATGGCTCACGGGCCCAGCCACTCCGCGGCATGTGGGATCTTCCCGGACCGGGGCACGAGCCCGTGTCCCCTGCATCGGCAGGCGGACTCTCAACCACTGCGCCACCAGGAAAGCCCCCTGACTATTTTTCTTGATTGCTCCTTCAGAAGGAAGAGAAGGGACTGTTTTACACCTCTGTCTACTGGCCATTGTAGTCTTATCTTTTTAGATAAATAGTGTTCTTGTCCACTATGTCTGAAAGTCATCTTTTTAACACTGTCCAGCTGTCTTAGTCCATTTGGGCTATAACAAAGTAGCACAGAGTGGGTGGCTTATAAACAGCAGAAATTTACTGCTCACAGTTTTGGAGGCTGGACATTCTAGATCAGGGTACCAGCATGGTTGGGTGAAGACCCTCTTCCAGGTGGCAGATTTTCCTTGTATCCTCTCATGGTAGAAAGGGCTAGGGAGCTCTGTGGGATCTCTTTTATAAAAGCACTCATCCAATTTATAAAGGTTCCACTGCATGACCTAAGCATCCCCTATTTGATGTACCACAGACATTTCAAACTCAGAATATCTACAATTGAACTCATTACAGTTCCCCACTCCCAACTTTCTTCTCCTATATCTTAAAGAGTATCACCACCCTTCTCCTCTCTTACAGGTAAGAAATCTGGCAGTTATCCTCGTGGTCTTCTCCCCCATACTCGCATCCAAATGACCTTCTAATTCAGATCCTTCTGAATTTATAGAATTCTGACCCTCATTTTCTTATATGGATCACTGCCATAAACTCTGTAGAGGACTCCCTGCTTCTCTTCTCCTAGATTCTCAAAAATGCAAATCTATTTATGCTTAACTCTCCATGGAGCCTTTGGGATAAAATCTGGAATCTAACAAGGGCTACAAGGACCACTCTGAGGTCAGAGGTTAGGGTGGTCTTGCTGAGACAAGGAGGATAGATTTGTTTAGCAATGAGCTGGCCTAGGAGCTCAGGATTTCAATCTCTGTTTGGACCTCAGTGTAGTAAATGGGAGCAGATTGCTGGCCTCCTTTACTCATAAGTTCAATTCTTCGGCTTCCTTGGTCATCTTTGGAAATATTAGAAACAGCATTAAATGCTACAATAATTTTATGTAAAAGAGACTATTTTCAAAGCATTAATATGCTTTAATCTTTTGTAATTTGGTGTACTTGGAAATATTGATTTGCTTCAAGGGATGCTTATTGAGTGGGATTACATGCATTACATCAAAAGTGCAAAGAAAAAGGGTTACTATTGGCTTCTAAAATTCAAAATAAGACTTTAAGCAAGACAATATATTAGAAGATCAGGCCTTGTAGGAAAGGATTATAAAAATACCTCAGGATATAAAAAACTGAGCCTAGAGAACTCAGAATTTAGTGTTTCTTCCATAGTGTGAAAAAGATTTCCCTTTGCCTATGACCTATACCATGAAATTTGCTCCCTCAGAGCAAATTTGCTCCTTCTTCTCCAAGACACAATCTAGATTAGAGTTCTCAGCCTCCCTGGCATTTAGACATAGCTGTGTTACTGAGTTCTGGTCAATGGAATGTGAATGGAAGTGATTTGTGTTATTGCCACAACCTTATGTGTTTCCTAGCAATCTTATAAGTAGGATGCCTTAAGGGCCAAGAGGAAATCAGAACTACATGATGGAAGAAACTTTGTCCCTGTTTGACCACATAGAAAGGCATCTGACCAGGAACACATGCACTGAACTGTGACAATATAAGTGAGATACAAACTTTTCTTTACGTTAAGTCATAAATATTACAAGACATATTTGTTATAGTAGCCAGTGCTCTCCTAACTACTACAAAGATATGATTCAGAGGACATAAAAAGCTCTTACTGGGTCTAAGAGATTGTGAAAAGGAGGGAGGGAGGGAGGACAAAGAAGTAGATAAAGAGTGAGACCTGCAGGAGGTGAGTTCCCATCATCTCTCTCCAGGCTTTGGCTTAGACATAGAGGTGTGGTATGTTAGAGAAGTTGAGGAGACACCAACTACCTAAGGGCTTTTGCTTTTCCTAACAGGTGGAACTCAGGAAAGAGATGCCTCACAGAGTGTCCCACAGCAAGCTGGGAGTAACTGCATCAAAATGCACTTAAAACCTCAACAAAGTTGGGTGGGCTGATGAAATTCCAGAATTTAATGTTCCCAAGTCACTCTCAATTCCTAAATTGTGACTGGGATCCAGATATTTCCCCATCCCCTTGAAGAGGAACCCGGAATTCCTCTGGCTGGAGACCAGGCCAGTGTGTCGGAGGGGTGTCACATGGAAGAGGGGGTGAAGTGGCTTGAGAAAAGGGCTACAGAGAGAGCTAGACCTGTGTGTGTGTGTGTGTGTGTGTGTGTGTGTGTGTGTGTGTGTGTGTGTGTGGTCTGTAGCACTAGAGAGAGCAGAGATGGAACTGAATCAGCCAAGGAGGGCTATTGAACGCTTCCTACCATACAGACCAGCACATAGGTTACATCAATGTCCCAATGTCATCCTTAAATGTCAGGAGGGTACACGGTCAAGTGGTGGATAAAGGATCCTGCTGTGGAGACAGAAGCAAGGGTCAGAAGACCTTTCTGCCCCTGCTATCTGGAGATTACCTGAGCCACATACCTCCCCATATTCTGTATTCTAGATACCACTTTAGGGATGAGAAGGGGGAAGGGCAGACATCTGAAAGACGTAAGAATGAGTTATCCAAAGGAGATTTTTTTTTTTTTTTTTTTTTGGGTACGGGGGCCTCTCATTGTTGTGGCCTCTCCCCTTGGGGAGCCCCGG